GCAGCTCAGATGGATTAGAATGCCTTCCTCTGTTTTAAAATGCTTACAGTAGATGGGAAAACTGAATAGATGAATGGTTCTTATTTTACTGTCAAGGTTTACTATCCTCTACCAGACAGTATGTTGAAGGACCTTGATTATCACTCACATTGAAGGGAGAAACTGGGCTCAATTTTATGTTTAAAATTCCCTCCTTTATTGAATATCTGAGAACCAAAGTAGTCATGACTTTTAAGCACATTTTAATCCTGCAGTTATGACAGGTCACATCTGGTTTTTTTGCAAAAAGCAGCCACATGGGGTAAATCGGGAGAAGGGAATTAGGTTAATTTCCCCCCCTCATTAATTTTCCCAGTGAAAGTATCCCACCCAAGCTGCTATTTGCCACAAATCAAGTAGCAGTGAAGTGGGGGCAGGGGCTAGGTGGGATGTTCAGCAGCAAAACATCATGGAGAAATGGGTTAAACTTCTCCCTCTATTCCTAATCTGGATTCAGAGGCCCTACTAGTGACTGATTTACAAATCACACCTGGTTTGACGCATCATGCTATGTGTAACTGAAATAATTTAGTTCTTGTCAAATCAGTCTTAATAAATTCCGTTGTGTTATTGTGATAAGTAAATTATGCACTCCAATTCTAGTTATGATATGATTAATAGGTGATATATTTATTCCAAAATATGAACTGTCTGATTTGACAAGTGAAGTAATTTAATTGTGATGCATTCAACAAAAATATGTTTTTGATTTAAAAGATAACCATCAGTAACAATGTAGAATGTGTGCCCAAAGTATAATCCTTGTTGAACTTGCTGGACAGCATAAATTTATGAAACCGATATGACGTTTCAAGGCATATGGATTTCAGCTATTAATAATTAATTTCATCTTGTAAGAAGATACACAATGCCTCTTAAACATCTCACATTGAAGAGGGAATATGCTAGACATATTCTAATCTAACTGTAATCTAAACTGTCTTTTCTTTTGCTGAATCTGGAGAAGACGGGTTCATGAAACAGCCTTAGTGTTGCAACTCTTCCTGGTTGTTGTTTTTTTAAATTTCTGTGGAAACATGAAATAAATCACCACCCAGCATTCTCATATTTCCTTGTAAAATTTTCATCGTGCTACTTCTGTCAGTCAAATGGCAGAAATTTTCCCATGCATCTAAAATGTGCTGAATGTCCTAAATGTGTATTCGCAGTAATGCAGAAATATTTATTTAAATTTCTCGTATTTTTTATGATGACATCACAACCAACCATTTCCCGTTACCACCTGGTTTTTGACTGGGAAAGGCTATGCCATTGAGAGTGGAGCCTAGATGCTTTATTTTCAGTTATGGGCTAATATGCAATTATCCATCACTGCAGCTACCCTTATATGTGCTGTGCACACCCTCAATTATTTAGAAAAGGCAATCACTTCATTTTACTCACATATTGAAAGGAAATCGTTTTCATGTTAAAAAAGAAAGCTAGTGGTGACGAAAATTTATTTCATTATTTCTCACTTATATTTTTCCTAGGTTTGGCAAAAGTGTACAAGTGCTGAAATACAATGGAGCCTTCAGTGCTTATAGTATTGCCAATAGCTAGTCTGGGAGAAGAACTGTCATATAGGAACTGTCACATTATTTCTAGGGTGAGGGCAACAAGCCAAGAGATTCAAATCAGCGCAAAGCCTCTAGGCTTAATATTCAGATGGAGACACTGCAGTGTTTCGGGTCTGAACTCTGCTCACAGCAAATCTGTGTCAATCTCTTTACTGTACTTTTAACAGTAAAGTGTGTGTGTGTGTGTGTGTGTGTGTGTGTGTGTGGCTCTTTTAGTGAAAGAATTGATCTTGTGTGTCTTACTTTTCAGCATTGCCTCTCAATTTTTGAAGCAACTTTAATTTAATTTAAACAATGGAGTGCTCAGTCATTTACATTTGGGGTTATGACAATGAAACTCCTAAATAAACAACAGCTCCTGAGATCTTCAGAGTAGCAGTCATTGACCAGGGGGCAGCAGAGTGTTGTTCTTTTCTATTGTTTCTCTCTTTCTCTGCAGAAGGATTGGCCTCAAGGTCTGTATAAGAAACTTGGGTTCACAACCGTACTAGCACAACACATTTCTTAACAGACATGCTTTTTTTCTTCTTGAAAAGCAACTTTAATCCGTTTTCTTTTCTCTGGTGTCAACTATCTGTTGAAGTCACCACAAGCTCCCTTTCTTTTTCAATCCAATATTCTATGTGAACCTTGCTGCCATTTGGTGGTCCCTAGATCCAAATGTGCCTCTTTCTTCAAGTACAGTTACCTCTTTTCTTTAGGGGCAAGGAGCAGAAACAAAACCTTCTATGTATTGTTCGCAAAACAAGACTGAGTTTATTACCAGGTCTGCTTGCTAGTCTATACACAAGAACACATGAACTTGCAAGGGGAATCTTTACTAGACATGATTGTACACCACAGACACCATTACAATGCACTTGATTGGTAAATACCAACATTGCTTTGTTCATTTTGTGGAAACTAACAAAATCCAATACATGCCAATAATTACATTGTTTTCTTAAGGGAATTGGCAAAAATACCACAGGCTTTCCCTGACCACTAGCAATGACCCAGTTGCCCTGTGTTCATTCAGTTTCTCACCTGCCCTTCACCACAAGGTCCCAGGGCAAGCTACAGAAATTTAAAATGCAATGTTAAAATTAGTTAAAAACAAATGCAATTAATAGAATAGGGGGAGTCCTAAAAATATGTTAAAGACTGTGGACTCAGCTACATTAGGTTGGATTTTATAAACATGCAACACCAGATGGCGGTGTAGAGCACAAAACTTTTCCATGTGATTTTACATAGCATTTTTTTCTTTCGTTATAATGATTTGATTTATGGCTTATTTATAGTGGTTTTTTCCTGTGTGTAGATCCACTCCAGGATAAAGAGGTGCATCTTCAGCATGCCATGAAAACAACATAGTGAGGGTGCCATTGTTGCATCTGTGGCATTGTGGGGGTTTTTTCATATTGAATTTCTAAAGTATTTTGATTTTCAACTTTGTAAACCACTTTAAGAGTGCTTTGTTAACAGCAAGTGGCATATAAATATTATTAAATAAATAAAATATTATGGTTAGAACATTTATTTACACAGATGGCTGACAGTGAGTAAGATGGGTGCACTTTGCCTGGATCATAACCGTAAGACAGTCAATAAGAAAGAAAGAGAAGTGGATATTGTCTTATATGGAGTCATGGGACATATGTTTTAGGAGCCCAGCAGAACTGTAGGAAACAAACCATGAATGGGAAATGTTCCCGTGCAAGTAAGAAAGGTAGACTGACAAGTAAGAAGGCTGCAATGCAATGTTAGCTGTCTTGAGGAAAGAGGAACAGAAGGAAGAAATTACACTAGAGTTTCCAGGTTTTTCATAGTGACTTCAAGATGCATTCCAAGGAAGGTTAGTTACAGTCAAGCAAAGCTAGGTTAATCTAACTCTTCCTCCTGTGAAGGGAATGGCGAACCAGACCATCAGGGTTCAGGCAGCAATGGGCGGCCAAAAGTAGGCAAAGATTTTCTAGGAAGTCCTTGTTACATGTGATTCCATTGGGTTTCTAGGAAGCCTTCTAATATGGCTAAACATGGAGGGAGGGGAATCCTTTTGGGTAACACTGGTTACCCACAGGGGTCCTGAGTACTCCTGAAAAAGAAAAACAACGAACAAAAGTTGAAGTAGGGAAACGGGGAAGAGGAGAGCAAGGGATCAAGATGAAGTAGAAGATGACTGGCTCTTGGAATGATCCACATTGTTGGAGCACCTGGCAAAGAGGACCAACCACTGTGGAATAGCCTGATTGGAGATGATTGAACTGATGGAGCTATCTCTTAGGTAGTAGATTGAACAAAGTGAGGACTAAGAAATATCCAGTTATAGGAAAGGAGCTTTCTAATGGGTATGGGGTCTGATGCAGAAGGTCATCTCGTTAAGGACAGAGCTGGGTGGAAGAGACTTTAAGGGTGGTTCCACCCTGTCACTGATTTTGGGTGGGATCATGTCACGTACCAGCAAATTCAGGTTGTGAAATTATAATTTGTCTGCCAGGGAGTGCCAAAGTCACACAGGGTCTCTTAAGGCAATCTACATTTTTTAAACAATTGGCAAAGGTGTTAGTGCTTTCACAGCAAATGTAAATTTAGCCAATCCACTAAAGCCAATCCAGACAAAATTTGATAACAGGGGTTACTTATTTATACCAGTGTGTGCATGTATAGTTTACACTTAATAAATATGGACTTCCACTTGCACAACACAGCTTACCCCCCTGTCCACCTCGCACCCCCCCCCAAAAAAAATTAGCTCGGGGGGTAGGAAGAACACCCCAAACAGTGTGTGGGAGGAGAAAGAGCAGATTGTTCCATCTGACAAGCAGAAATGCTTGTGCACATGAAACTTTCCTAATTGTGCAATGTTGAATCCAACCCCTGTTAACAATTATCCAACCCCACTGGATAATGTTAAGTTATAAGGTATGAATTTTAACAAGACTGATTAACAGATATATTTTCTCATTGTCTCTTGTCATAGTTTTTTTAGCGGATTAATTTGTAGCATAACTTAGATAATTGAATTGCCCAAGATGTCACCATGTATGTTTATAATTCGTGTTTGTCAGTTTTGTTCATTAAATAAATTTTATTTAAATTTAAATTAGGCAATCCAATTACTGGGGGAAGGTGCTTGCTCTGATTACTGTCCAGAATTAATTAATGCTTGGAAAGAGTGTTTATTTGCATTAGAAGTGGCAGAAGTTCCAGGGACCAATTAGACACGGACTTACATGATCACTTATGCATATTGATCACTACTGGGATATTCCCCTGTACATTATGGGTGTGGGAACAATATTTGGCTGGAACCCCTGAAACTTCATTACTAAGAGTCATTGAGTTCTTTGTCCTACATGATTTAAATTCAGATGTACACCATTCTTGGTTTCTTTTTATAGTATGTATGTATGTATGTATGTATAATGTGTGTGTACGTACGTACATACATACATACATACATATGTATTTACTTACTTACAGAATAATAATAATAATAATTCAAATAAAATGTGCCCCCTGCCCCCGAGACCATCATTTATCATAATTATCCAACATTCCAAAAAACTTAACACTTCTTGAGATATTTTGACCCCTTTCTACTTTAACAATACAAATTCCACAAATATCTTCCATATTTCCTCAAAGTCACTTCTGTTCCATATTCCCCTTCTTAGCACACATTAATTTATCATTAATTACTATATCCCTCACTTCTTTCTACCATTCTTCTATTTGAAATCCTCCTTGCTTTTTCCATACCATTCTTGGCTTCTTCTGTGAAGGACATGAGAACTTTCCAAAGAACTCAACGGAAAAATCCAGCTTTTATTCTGTAACTGTGATTGGCCACCAACATGTTCCTTGCCCCTCCCCCCAAAAGACAGCCCTTTCTTATTCGGGGGCATATATCTATATAATTTTGGAGTGGGGCGAATGAGTTGTTGCTATTAACCATTTTTAAAGTTGCCCTGCCAATGTAATCCACTGTCCACATTTGAGGTGTTGCCACAGGGCAGGTGGAAAGAGAGTGGTTTAGAACAGCGCTGCAGCATGTTATTACAACTTGTTTTACATGTTCATAAATGGTGTACAGTCAGGAGTGAGCAGTGATGTACCCAATTGTTCAGGATGACGAAACCATCTGAAGAACCTGAAGAATCTCCAAAAGATCAAAGTGGGTAAACAGGCAACAAAAATGGCAAGTAAGAGTTGATGCGCTTCAGTGTGGTACAGTGCACATTGGAACAAAGAAATCCTAATGTCATATATATGGTAAAGAGAGTCCGAAGTGGAAGTAACTAACTGGGGAAGACATTTTGAGGTCATAGTAGAAATGTCTGTTGAATATGTGGCAGTAAAAAAGAAAATACCTTGCAAATAATTATTAGGACAGGGGCAGAAATATTTCAGTATGTCTAATAACTAAAAACAGGTGGGTGGGAATCGGCTGAAGCACCATCCCTATGAGTAAAGGTTACATTTTTTGGATTTTTTTAATTTAGGAAAAAATGCATTAATGATGGGTTATGACAGAGGTTCATAAGAATTTGTGCATTGTCAGTAGATAGTGGAGAGAACGGAAACTTCGTCCCACTTTGAAGAATGCGGTCAGCCAATGAAACGGAGCATAGTCGATTCAGAAAATGTAAAAGGAAGTCTTTACTCAACATGTAATTAATTTATGCAATGCACTGCTCCAGGATATAGTGAAGAGACCTTGCAGCTGCTGTTAATCATGACAGCTAAATGGAACTGTTGGAAGAAGGCAATAGCAGTAGAGGGATACAGTGGTACCTCGGGTTACATACACTTCAGGTTACATACCCTTCAGGTTACAGATTCCGCTAACCCAGAAATAGTACCTCGGGTTAAGAACTTTGCTTCAGGATGAGAACAGAAATCGTGCGCCGGTGGCACGGCGGCAGCAGGAGGCCCCATTAGCTCAAGTGGTGCTTCAGGTTAAAAACAGTTTCAGGTTAAGTATGGACCTCTGGAACGAATTAAGTACTTAACCTGAGGTACCACTGTTTTGCCTTCATCCCTTTCTCATGGATGCATTATGGATTGGCATGGTTATAGCACATTCATAACTAAATCAGTGTTAGAAACTGAGATATGAGAGCTAGGACCTAAATGGCAGCTTAAACCTAGGTTATGGGCGCAACAACAGAATGTCTAGGTTCGCTTTTTTATAACAATAATACAAAGCTGAAAATGAATGAACTGCACCTAAAATTCATGGTCGTTCATATTCTTAAGAGGGTCTCTTCTCCAGTCTTCAGAGAATAGCTGGAAATGGAAAGGCAGAAAAAGGTCCTCTTTTCCTTCCACTCTGCAGTTTTAATCCGAAATCTCAGGCGCTGTACTGCGCCCAGAGCTCAGAAACTGCTTACTGTAATGAAACTCCCCGTCGCAAAATGTGCATGGAACTATGGGAGTTTCGAACACTGAACTAAATGCTGAAAGAGTGAATTTTCAAATGATAACATGGCAGCCCATGGACCAGATCCGGCCCAGAAACCATTTTTAGCTTGCCACAATATTCCTACCAAATAAAGGTACAGTGTGTGTGTGTGTGTGTGTGTGTGTGTGTGTGTGTGTGTGTGTGTCCACAGTTCAGTTGTAAGGAAAAGAAATTCAGTTTGAAAAGTTTCCTAGACGTATTCTACTCTCTGTGTTGTGAAAGCTCTTTTTTACTTTTGTATGTGCTGCAGTCAGTGCAGCAGTTAGATGCATTTCAGATGAATGGTCTTCTGGGGGCCTTCTTTAGATGGCCATGTGCATTACTTTGTTTACTTCAAAATATGGTAAGCCAGTTGGGTTTTTTTGTGGAGGGGGGTTTCCTCCTGATTGCTTTCCTGAGTGGGGATCTTGACCTCTGTTCCAAAGTTCTGTCCTGATGGCACCAATGAGTATTCAGGCCATGTGAAACAACATGTCCTTCTAACTTTGTTGCTGTTGATGATGATGTTACATTTTTGTATCTTTGTTATCAATCTTATTATTATTTATGTGGAAACAGTTCAGTTTGGTTGTGTTTGGATGTTTTGTTTATTGTTCATGACCACTTTTGGTATGTTTGTAATTATGTAAAAAATTTTTTCATGTTGTTAGCTGCCTTGGGCATGGTTTTGGCTATGGAGAGGCAGCATAGCAGTAAAACTTGGTGTGTATGTACATAACTACAGGAACCCTAAAGTTTCCTGGGATGCCAGGAACCAGGAATGTCTACAGGATTTCCTGGTCCCAGTATATTGTATGTGGATTCGGAACCTGATAACCCCACCTCCCCTCTTGCCAATATATAATAAAAATAAAAATAAAAATTATTTATACCCCACACATCTGGCTGGGCTTTATTGGTGGCTGCCAATAAAATATTAAAATACAGTAACGCATCAAACATTAAAAGCTTCCCTAAAGAGGGCTGCCTTCAGATGTCTTCTAAAAGTCTGGTAGTTGTTGTTCTCTTTGACATCTGGTGAGAGGGCATTCCACAGGGCGGGTGCCACTACTGAGAAGGCCCTCTGCCTGGTTCCCTGTAACTTGGCTTCTCGCAGTGAGGGAACCGTCAGAAGGCCCTTGGCGCAGGACCTCAGTGTCCAGATACAATGATGGGGGTGGAGACACTCCTTCAGATATACTGCACCGAGGCCGTTTAGGGCTTTAAAGGTCAGCACCAACACTTTGAATTGTGCTCGGATACGTACTGGGAGCCAGTGTAGGTCTTTCAAAACTGGTGTTATGTGGTCCTGGCAGCCACTCCCAGTCACCAGTCTAGCTGCTGCATTCTGGATTGGTTGTAGTTTCCGGGTCACCTTCAAAGGTAGCCCCACATAGAGCGCATTGCAGTAGTCCAAGCGAGAGATAATCAGAGCATGCACCATTCTGGCGAGACAGTTGGTGGGCAGGTAGGGTCTCAGCCTGCATACCAGATGGAGCTGATAAACAGCTGCCCTGGACACAGAATTGACCTGCGCCTCCATGGACAGCTGCAAGTCCAAAATGACTATATTGGCGATAACTGCTACAATAACTTCTTGGCCTGGCCTGCCTCACAGGGCTATTAGGAAGATAAAAAGGGGGGAAGGTAGGATACCTCAAGCTCCTGGGAGTAAAAGCAAGATGTCATATATAATGCCATTCATGTAAAGAAAAGTAGATATGCACAAAGCCAGAAATGCAGCCCCCACCCCCCACTTCAGCTGCAACGTTCTGCAGTTCTGATATTTTACAATAAACTAGCAAAGCAAAGCAAAGATATTGGCAACACTGCAGATTTAAAAATACATACAACACATTTTCAAAATGCATCACAGAATGAAAAAATAAAAATCAATATTAGTTTCCTGCCAAATAGCAGCCATGACACCTAAGTAACCCCTGACTACTTGCTTTTAGAATAGAATTTAAGGGTGGGAGAGATTACCCATATAACCCTATATCTACTCATAAGTAAATCCCAGTGATTTATAACACACAATTCTAACCATGTGTACTCAAAAGTGCTATTAAATTCAGTGAGGTTTACTCTCAGGTAAATAAGATTAAGATGACAGCCTTACTCCCGGGAAAATGAATATAGAAATCTGGGAAGTACCACATTCAAAATGGGTTATGAATTACCCTGTTCAGCAGTCTAGGGAAAAAAATTATATAGGTCTTTGTATTTAGAAAACATAAGGTGCATATACTCTTTAAAATTATTTAAGAGATAAAATGTATACTATGCTCTTCTTTGTATTTTTTTTAATGCTGCATATATACTTTTAGCATCATCATAACTAAAATTGCTTATGTGTATGCCCATCGAGATCCTACCACAGCTGTGCTACCTGTGTCTGTGCTGCTCTGATTTTTTGGATCTTATGTTAGTGACTTTCTAGCCACCTGTCAAGCCCCCCACCCCCGAATATACTGAAGAATATTCTTCCCCCCCCAAAAAAAAAACCCTCCATCCTAAAGTTGACCATCCCTAATATAAAAATCTGGCTTTGACAAAGAGTGAGTTAATGGATATTAGCTGTGTGCACATGGCAGTTTAATGTGGGTCCTTCTATAGCTCAGTTGGTAGAGCACAAGACTCTTAATCCCAGGGTTGTGGGTTTGAGCCCCACGTTGGGCAAAAGATTCCTGCATTCTAGGGGGTTGGACTGGATGACCCCTGTTGTCCCATCCAACTCTACAATTCTATGATTTGATGCATCCCATGTGTGCATGCTTTTTTGGTGTCATCCACATGGATGGTGTGGACAGGCGGAGTCCCCCAAACCCTGGGCGGCCCCCGTGTGGAATAACGACTCAAGACAACGTGCTATAGGATTAAAATTGGCCACAACTTTATTATGTTTCAGATGTGGGGAGACCTTGGCTCAGGCACTGGGCGTTTATCCCTCCCAGTCCCCCGCCGGGGATCGGGGGAACATCATGGTTATCCAGAGTGTGTGGGGGGGTGGATGGGCTGGCTCTGGAG